CAAACCACGCAGCAGATTCGTTCTGAATGAATCTCTTCCCAAATCGTCCCTCCCTAACATTTTCGTCTCATTTTTATTCGTTGACGAAAATGTCAATAGATTTACGTCGTAGTTTTTGTCATTCAAAAAGAGTTTTAGTTGTCTCGTTGTCGTTGGTGAAAAAAATGTAGTTGACGAAAATTATGATGAAAATTATTCATCAACGAAATTAGTCAAAGGCAGCCCTACTGATCTTTCATCTCTGAAGTGTTCTTTCTGTTCCCAGGTTTCCTTCGTGTCCAGGATTCCCGTGGCCTTCCCCACCGGTGTAGTTGACGAAAATTATGATGAAAATTATTCATCAACGAAATTAGTCAAAGGCAGCCCTACTGATCTTTCATCTCTGAAGTGTTCTTTCTGTTCCCAGGTTTCCTTCGTGTCCAGGATTCCCGTGGCCTTCCCCCCCGGCGACGCCAACTCTCTCAGCCGCAGCGTGGTCATGTACGCCTGCAACAGAAATGTGGACCTGGCCATGCAGCACGGCCGTCAGCGTCCCGCGGGCCTGCCACACTCGTCCTCCTCCGCTCTGATCGGACAGAGCCAGAACAAACCCTCCTCCAGCAGCCTGCGTCTCAGCATCTTCACCCCCAGTGTCCTGATGATCTCCAAACATGCCGACGGCTCACTCAACCAGTGGGCCGTCAGCTTCGCCGAGGACTCGGCCTTCTCCACGGTGCTCAGTGTGTCTCATAAGTCACGATACTGCGGCCACCGCTTCCACCTCAACGATCTGGCCTGCCACTCTCTGCTGCCGCTGCTGCTCACCACCTCGCACCACAACGCCCTGAGGACGCCCGCCGCCGCTCTGACCGCCCCAGCCCGCAGGAGCAGAGTCTCGCAGGACCCCAGCGCCATCTACAGCGAGCTGATCCTGTGGCGGGTGGATCCGGTGGGGCCGCTGTCGTTCTCTGGTGGCGTGTCGGAGCTGGCCAGGATCAACTCGCTGCACGCCTCCGCCTTCTCTAATGTGGCCTGGCTGCCCACACTCATCCCCAGCATCTGCCTCGGTGAGGACCGCTTCCTTAGGTTCCTTAGATTCTGACATAAAAGCAAAACTCACTGTGGAAACCAGGGGCCAGTTGTTCAAAAGTAATCTGATCGGATTTTGGCCATCGGATTGGATCAAATCTTGAAAATGGGTTGTTCAAAGGAAAAAAAGGATTCTGAATTCGGATTAGATCACAAAATCCAATCTGGGTTTTGATCTGGATTAAATCCTCAATTCAAACATTTTAGTAAAATTGGGATACTTTTGATCCAAAAAAACTGGATTGTTCTGATCCCAGCAGAAGGGTGGATTTCAGGAACAAAAATGTAATAACTTTAAACCTGGTCCAAAAAATGCAACATTTGTAACGTAACATATCCACAAACAGCTGTCAATATCAAACAAAAATTTTATATTTAATTTAAAGTTTTCTTTTTTTCATCACTGATTGTAAACTACATTGGCACAATCATCAGAGATGGACCAGTCAGAAGTAGTTATGTGTGTAAATGCAATGCAAAACTAGAATGCAAAACATTGGCATTTTTTTCCATCAGCATGTCCCTTTAGGGGCTCCGTAGAGCTCTAGTAATCCAGATTTGGAAATCTGGAAAAGTGTGTATCTGGATCAGGGTGATCCAATCCAATTTTGCTTTGAAAAACCGGCACTAAAGTAAGATGGGTCACCTGATCCCGGATCGCAAAACATGGGATTTCCAAATCCAGATCATTCTGATCCAGATTAAACTTTTTGAACAACTGGCTCCAGGGTTCGTACAAGGTGCTTAAAGGAGTCATCAGATGCCCATTTTCCACAAGTTGACATGTTTCTTTAGGGTCTTAATGAAAAGTCTATAACATACTTTGGTTAAAATTATCAATGGTAGTGTAAAACAACACCCTTTTTACCCTGACAAAAACAGCTCTGTTCACAGCAACGCGTTTCGGTGCATGTCCCTTTAAATGCTAATGAGCTCTGCTGACCCCGCCCCTCTCTTCCGTGGGGTGACGAGCTGTACTGTTAACTTTAGTCGCATTTAGCCTTGGAACTTGCTAAGTAGAAAACCTAAAAACCCTTATTCTCTCTTCTGCATTAAGTGAAGCTGGATCACGAATGATTTGCGCGAACATAGACGCATTTATGTAGATCGGGAGCGCATTCCCTTCAAAAACAAACGTAATCCTCTGCGTCTTCAGCGGCTCAGATGTCGGGAGTAAATGACCACTGCTATGTTCATTATTACATCCAACAACAGAACACCTCAGTCGCTTAGGAGACATTCTGCTCCGGCATCAAAACAATGGAGGACTGTTTACAGCTCACTCAGGGCGGGTCTAAGGTAAAACGGCAGTGTCAATCAACAATCGTGGGAGGGGCCTGGGTCTGAGTGACGTCACACAGCCAAGCATCTGAGATCGGCTTGATCTGAGAAAGGGGATATTATTTATTGGGATTTAAAAAAAAAAAAACACTGGGTGGATTTTTATGATTATAGGGTGGTTGTGTACACACACTGCTAAGACACATTTATGTTCAAACAACATGTAAAAGTGAATTTTGCATCCGATGACCCCTTTAAAGTGCTTGAAGATTTGACTTTTTGAAGTTTAAGTCCTGGAAAACCCTTGAAAACAGACATATTTATGAAAAGGTACTTGAAAAGTGCTTGAATTTTTAAAAGGCAGTATATATGAAATTAGTGTTAATTTTTATTTTCGATAAAAACAGTCTTTTCACACAAAATTAACAATGCAGCGCATCTGATATAAATACAGAGCCCCCTGCAGGTATTTGTTAAAATACGTTAAGTAATTAAGTTTATGCTCATATTATGTATAGGCATGTTTCATTATGTATTATGAATAAAACCATGTAATTACTTGTGATATGTAAATACTTTATTTGAACTTATTATTATTGCCTCGTCGTTATTTTATATATAGGTAAATATAGCAATATTAAAGCCTGTTTTTCACAAAATATCAGATTATTCGTCAAAATAATTAGTAGATTACTTGATTACCAAAATAATCGTTAGTTATAGCCCTAGATTAGTTAAACATTTCAAAATACAACTGCATTATTTAGCATTTTGTAATTAAAAGACAAATATTTTGTCACTGAAAATTTCTTAAAAATAGTATTAAAGGGCACCTGTTATGCAAAATCCACTTTTACATGGTGTTGGGACATAAATGTGTGTTGGCAGTGTGTGAACACAACCACCCTACAATGATAAAAATCCACCCACTCCTCATTTTTTAATCCCCTTTAAACCAAATCAGTCTCACTAGGCCTGTCGTTTTGATTCTCTAGGTCTATGCAATGTGACATCACACTGCATAGGCCCCGCCCACTGCAGCTGATTGACAGCACAGCATTGATGACGCGGATTACTTACATTTTTCGAGGTAATGCGCCTCAAAATCTACCTAAATATGTTTATGTCTGCGCAGAGAGAAGTATACGCGATGCCCTCTTCTGGAGACGGGGTGGGAATATGCAGCTCATTTGCATTTAAAGTGAAACACACCAAAACAGCTCTTTTTTTTTTAAACCCACCCCAAAAATGACATTTTCCAGCTGTTATAATAAATTATCTGTGGGGTATTTTGAGCTGAAACTTCACAGACACATTATGGGGACACCCAAGACCAATATAACATCTTGTATAAAGGGGCATAATAGGTGCCCTTTAAAATATTGTCTCTTTCTAGTGAAACAAGTATCTGCATTTTGTTTTGTCTCATCTTGTGAGCTAAGTGTATTGTCACACCCCTAGTTTCTACGAGCGTGATATAGCTCATAATTTTCCAAGTATATGATATAGCTTTCATTCTTCAGGTCATATGTTCACGAAAAAAAATCTGTTTGAAAAAGGAAGGCGATAACTTTGCCATAGTATCCTTTCAAATGTTACAAGTTGCCACAGTCATTGCATGCTTTGCATGTGCTGCACTTTATTTGTACCATTTTGTTTTATTAGTTAATTTATTAGAATTTGAAAGGTAATAACGATATTGTTTGATAAGTGTGATCTCTGATTTTAGTCGTGGAAAACCAAAAATGTAGTGCTTGAAAAGTCCTGGGATTTCATTTTGCGGTATCTGTAGGAACCCTGGGAAACCTTCTAGAGTTTAGATTAGTTCAGTCTGACAGTCTTGCGTTAAAAACAGAAAGCAAGAGTACAGTACAGAAGAAAGCAAGCTGTGTGCTGATTATTTGTGATATTTTCAGAGACTTTTAATGAGCGAGTGGGAAACATTTACAGGAAAGCATCCCTGTTCGAACCGAGTCTCTGCTGCATGGAATATTCATAAATGTGACCCTGCAGCACAAAAGCAGTCTTAAGTCGCTGGGGTATATTTGTAGCAATAGCCAACAATACATTGTATGGGTCACAATTATCCATTTTTCTTTTATGCCAAAAATCATTAGGATATTAAGTAAAGATCATGTTCCATGAAGATATTTTGTAAATTTCCTACCGTAAATATATCAAAACTTAATTTCTGATTAGTAATATGCATTGCTAAGAACTTCATTTGGACAACTTTAAAGGCAATTTTCTCAATATTTAGATTTTTTTCATATTTTCAAATAGTTGTATCTCGGCCAAATATTGTCCTATCCTAACAAACCATAAATCAATGGAAAGCTTATTTATTCAGCTTTGATGATGTATAAATCTCAATTTCAAAAAATTGACCCTTGTGACTGGTTTTGTGCTCCAGGGTCACAAATATGTATTCATCTCATGAATATTTAATGTAAATCCTCGCGTTTTACGCCTGTCTGTTCTTCAGCTTGCAGCTGATTGGATGATACTCTTGGTCTATTCATATTTAATTTCCTTCCCAAAGGTGTGTATGGAAACTCACCCAGTGCCTGCTTCATCGCCAGTGACGGACACTCGCTCCGACTCTATCAGGCCATCATCGAGGCCAAGAAACTGCTGAGTGAACTCTCCAACCCCGACATCTCGGTAAGAATGAGCCTGGCTGCTATATCAGTATATCAAACAGTAGAGTCCTGCTTATCTGTAATGTGTTCTTCCTCCAGAAATATGTTGGAGAGGTGTTTAACATCATCAGCCAGCAGTCGACGGCTAGACCAGGCTGCATCATTGAGCTTGATGCCATCACAGACTTTGTACGTATAAGATCCGCTACAGATGTGACCCAAACTAATGAGCTGATCTAACACAAGAGCATCATGTCATTTCCCAGAGTGCTCAGCGCTCACGTCTCTCTCTCTGTTTGTTCAGCAGGGGAAAGAGACGCAGCTGCTGCACGTGTTCGAGGAGGACCTGATCTTGGGAAGCGAGAAAGTAGACGACTGCCTGCAGGATTCTGGTAAGAAGTCATTCTCTGATAGCGCCGCAGCGTTCGTTGTGTCTCTGTGCTGTGTCACGAACACTTGTCCTCTGTTCAGTTCCCAGCCGGACGCTCTTCTCCGCTCGCTTCTTCCTGGTGGTGGTGGAGATCACTCAGAGCGGCAGGTCGCTGCTGCACATGTGGCATCTACAGCTGGACGCAGTTCCTGTCGTTATGGGTTTGTAATGGATCTTATGGTAAACAGTGTTAGGAAGGTTACTTTGGAAATGTAATAGGTTACAGATTACAAGTTACCCTACTTAAAATGTAACAAGTAGTGTAACTTTCCTGAACAGGAAAGTATCCTGAACAGTAGTTTTGCTTCTCTGCTCCACCTGTGCGCTTCCACAGTCCGTCCACTCCCTTCTCAAATCTCTCGCATTAATTACTCCGATCGAAACCGTTCAATCTGTTCAAAGCTTAGCATTGCCAGTCATGACCAGGGCCGCTGTTGGCCAAATGAGTGCCCTAAGCAGAATTGTATTGTTGTGCCCCCTCCCCCAAATATTATGGATGTAAAAAAACACATAGCGGTCAAAATAGAACTTTAATAAAATATAAAAGTAAATAAATTGTATTATTTACAAATGACGATTTTATTAATACAGTTGTCTGATTGATATTATAGTCTCGAAGCATTCAGAAATCACGCAAAAGAAAACTAAGCACTACGATAAAACCATGGTTAATTTTTGTGAGGGTTGTGATGTCCACATGTTTTTGTTGAAGAAATTATAGAGGCTGTAGCATTTCTATCGCAAAAAGCTGGCCAAAAATGAAAGATTAAGTGGATATTTGAATTAGCCTAAATGTTTGGTCAGAAATAAATTAGATTTTAATGTATATTAAAATAGAAAAACATTATTTTACATCATAATATTTCACAATATTAAATTTTTTCTTGTATTTTTGATAAAATAAATGCAGCCTTGATGAGAATAAGAAACTCCTTTAAAAAACATTAAAAATAATTCTGCCTCATTGTTTTATATAATGCATTTTAAGTAATTTTAAAGGCTGTTTGGCTTAAGTTTGTTTTTATAACCACAAAAAAATATTACTTTGTAAACCATTATTTGAAGTAACAAAACCATGGTTAATTTGTGGTTACCGTGGCTACAAGAACCATGATTTTTGGTTTTATTCGTAGTGAAACCATGGCTAATTTTCGTAAGGGAACATGGAAACTCAGAGAGATGAGCAGAAGACACTCCTGTAAAAACATTAAAAATAGTTTTGATCCCAAACTTTTGACCGCTAGTGTTTATGTTAATTTTAATATTAATATAGAACGAAAGTTTTTTTTGAGCAACTGGGATGGTGCCCTACGCAAACTGCGTACTCTGCATATAGGGAGCGGCGGTACTGGTCATTACTAAACGATTCATGATTTATTAGAGATTTATTATCGAATGGCGAAGTCGGAAATAATTGATTTAGTACATTTGGCAGGCAATTATATAAAAATAATAATATTAAAAAAGCGGGTCAAATCGGCTGCCAGGTCACCGGGTATTATCCCGGTTCTCCCGATGGCCAGTCCGCGCCTGATTGCACAGAGATACGCAGAACGTGTCGTGCAAGGTTCATATATTGTATTTTTGCAGCTTAATATTCACAGACTGTAGTCCATCTCGAGTTTTGATTCAAGTGTACTGACCCTACTTTTGATCTATTCATCCAAAATGTGGCATATTCTGTGACATTCCGCGTTATAGGAGTTCCGTTTTTATGACTGGATTCTATGAACCAGTCCGTGTTTTCAGCATTACGAAATCATAGGGCCGTATGTCTCATATTTTAGAGTAGTCAGTGCAATTTGGGAAAGAAATCAATTAAATCTGTATGTGGATGTGTGTAAGTATTCAAATGTAACCCCCTTTGTAATCGTTAACATTTTCATTCGTAACTAATTTAATTACAAATTTTTTCTTAGTAACTGTAACTGATTACAGTTACATTTATTTTGTAATTAAATTACGTAACGTTACTCCCCAACACTGATGGTATATAATGTGACACACTTGATCGGACTGTGAAAAGTGCCAGATTGGAGTCAGACATGAATGCAAGTTTGATCAAACAAAGCCTAAATAACAGCATGAGCACTGCTTTAATGATTATGATTAGCGGTCGCCCGATATATCAGCCAATATCTGTCAATAATTGTTTTCTTTTTTTACCGATACTTGGAAAATGAGACTTTTATTTTGACAGCGCGCACAGTTTACCAGATTACTGAGCGCACTCACTGTTACAGTGTTTTTATTCATATTTCTTTATTTGTGAAATATACTGTATGTGTACTATACTGTATGCCATTTAAATAAATATTTTTATTTTACAGTTTTATTTTTTATAAAGTTAACATTTAAAAAAAATATTTTTATATAATATTATGCAAAATAAATTCATTTAGTTTCTGCAGTTGTCATGCATGTGTTTTTACTATCTTTAAATAGTGTGATATATATATCGGCTTTATGTTGGCATCTGTATTGGCCATTAAAAAATCCATGTCAGTCAACCACTAATTATAATGTCACCCGTAAAGGAAAGACAGAGCAAGTGATTGATGTTTCTGTCAACTGAACTGCAGATTTGTGTCGTTCTTTCAGAGCAAACTCAAACTCCAGACAGAGAGACTGTGTCTCCATCATTTAACTTTGAGACGGTCGGCTCACCACAAACCCCGAGACCCAAACTGAAGACGTCTAACCTCCAGAGCGCCTGCCGCCTCACTCTGACCAACACAAAAGTCTTCAGCCAGGAGCTGGATCTGCCGCAGGGCGTTGAAGTCATTCGTGTATCACCTGCTGCAGGTGACCGCAAACCACCTCTGTGTGCCTTTGATGATGAGATCATGCATGATGTTCTGATTATTCCCATTATGGCCTTTATTTATCCTCCTTTTTAAAATGCTCCATGACGCTTTACGCAAATTATGGGAGGAACTTCTGTTAGACTGTAAACAATCAGTGAAAGATTTGCTGTATGAACACAATATAATACACTTTTTCAAAAACTAGGTACGATGAGGTGACATTATTCTACTCGCCCTTCAACCTTCATCCAACATTAAAAGAAAAGTGTAAAAATATTAACAAATTACTACAACATGAATAACCCCAAAAACTTGATTCATGTCACATCACGTCTGTATTATGTAACATTGTAACGTTTGCCAAAAACGTTAATTAACCGAAACATTGAGTGATTGCCATCATTTTATACAGACAATAAATATTGTACTGTATATACCTGCTTTAGAAACATTCCAGTAAACACTGCTAATAGGGATTAGAAGTGAAAACAGAAGACAGTCACATTTTAAAGCATCTGTGTGAGAACAAATCTGGAAAGAGACATGAGGATTTGGGGAGCAAAATAGGTATTCTTAGTGCATTTTTTGGATTTATCATAAATTAAATCAGGATAGCAGAGCATAAATTTGCAGTGTATGTAATCTTGGTTCATATTGTTACAGCGGAATACAAATGAAAACATGAAAATAATGCAGCATCTCTTCCATAGATATTCTTGTTATAGCATGTCACATTAAAATACCAAGCATTACATTATTCTCCTGACGTCTGGTAATAGAATATGAAGGAAAATGTACAGTTCATTCAGTCAAACTGGATAAGGATTATTTGTAGTGCAACCTTATGATCTGAAATGATTGGTTTCAAAAAAAATTCTCTCCATGATAAGAATTAGTCTTTCCGTGATGATAACGATAAAGTGTAGTTGTTGGCATATTTCTGTGTGCGACATCGCGGAAGGTGGACGTGAAATTGAGGAGGAGTTTATCGCAGATAAACCATATATTTTGTGCAATCGTATGTTTATTGTCTTCAAGTTTCATCAGTTAAAATTTCTCTATCTCCGTTGTGCGTTTTATTCAGCGATAACTGGATGCCTTTGTCCATATTAGGGATTTCCTGGAGCGTCGTCAGTGCTATTACTTCTGCGATGCATATGTGGAGTTTCTGCGCGAGGGCGCCCTCTGGCTTCCTGTGTGAATTAAACAGTCATTACATTATGTGTGTGCTCAGTAATGCTCACAACACCCTATTTTGGGTAAAAATAGGAAAGAGAATACTTTTCTCTAAAGAAACAGGATTCCCTGAATTATCGTCATTGATATTGTTATCGCAATAAATACCAGAAGTTATCGTGATATATTTTAAATCCCATATTGCCCATCCCTAACAAACATCAATGTTTGCGTTGCAGGTCATTTGAGCGCCTCGTCTCTGCAGCCAGCCGGACGCTCTCCGTATCTGCTGGCCACGTCTTGCTCAGACGGATCGGTTCGGTTCTGGAGGTGCAGCGCCGTCTCTGACCCCGATGGCTCTGCTGACCCGTCATACGTCTGGGAGGAGTGGCCTTTGCTTGTGGAGGAGGGCGAAGCCAGCAGCAGCGCTCTGAGCGTGTCCGGTCAGCTCATGGGTCTCAGCTGCTGTCACACCAGCAGAGTCGCAGTCGCGCACCGGAGCCACGAACCCATCATGCACATCAGCATCTTCCAGTGCGACTCCACCGGAGGCTCTCAGTGGATTCTGGAGCAGACGCTTAAAGTCTGCGGCGCATACAGCCCCAGTGCCAGCGACTGTGATAAAAGCCTGAGTAACGGCTGTTCAGTTAAGAGGCAGGTCCACTTAGACTGGGTTTCCAGAGAAGATGGCTCTCACATATTAACTGTAGGTCTAGGATCCAAACTTTACATGTACGGGGTGCTTTCTGGAACACCTCCAGATCTGGGTCTGTCCGATTGCAGTAAGGAGCGCAGCTGCTCTCGATTGGTTCTCCTCCGAGTGGTGGATCTGGTGTCGTCGGTTGAAGGTTCGCTACCCATCCCTGCCTCTCTATCTTGGGTGCGAGATGGCATCTTAGTAGTCGGGATGGATTGCGAAATGCACGTTTACTCCCAGTGGCAGCCGCCGGCTCCAGTCAAACTGTCGCGCACTGGTAGCGTGACGTCGGTGAAACAGGAGGGACTCAGTCCGAATCCTTCGAAAAAGACCCTCACCAGATCCATGACTAGTTTGGCTCAGAAACTCAGTGGAAAGAGAACCGTGTACGACCTCCCGGCCGAGATGGAGGATTCTGGGTTGTTTGAGGCGGCCTATCACCTGTTTCCTACTCTGCCCCAATATCACCCAGTGCAGCTGTTGGAGCTCATGGACCTCGGGAAGGTGCGCCGGGCCAAAGCCATCCTGTCCCATCTGGTGAAGTGCATTGCCGGGGAGATCGTGTCTATGAAGGACACTGCGATTAACCAGGAGCGGCGTCTGCGCTCGCTCACCATCAGCGCCAGCGGAAGCACCGCCCGAGACCCGAAGATGTTCAGCAAAGCTGAGAGCTCCGACTACACCGAGATCGACTCCATCCCGCCACTGCCTCTGCATGCGCTGTTAGCCGCCGACGAGGAGACCGCTCCTAGTGCCAAAGAACGATCGGAGAGCGTGAGCGCTCACGGCCAAAGTGACGCTTACAACGAGCTCTTCCAGACCGCCGGCGTCAGTGCGGATGACATGCACCCTTTTGATGGAGATGAGGAGGATGCAAACGCTAAAGTCATTGATTTGTCAAAGTACAGCCCTACGTTCTTCGGCTCCGAACATGCACAGGTGTTATCGGGACACCTGCTTCACTCCAGCCTGCCGGGCCTGACGCGGATGGAGCAGATGTCTCTGATGGCTCTGGCGGACACCATCGCTTCCACCAGCACCGACATTGGAGAAAGCCAAGGGAAAGGCCAAGGTCAGTGTCTTTAACTGATATAAGTGCAGTTTTCATTTGTAGGGACATCATTTGTGTTATGATAGAATGCACTTCCAGTGGTGGCCAAAATCATTAGAACACTAGTATTTCCAGCAGCTAAAAATGTGTTTAAGTCAGTTATTTCTATCGTTTGCTGTAGTGTGTCAGTAGGAAATATCAGTTTACATTTCCAAACATTAATTTGGCCATTAATTGTAATAATGCAGTGAGATTTGAGCTCTGATCTGATCATCATCAGTCTGTCTGGAGTCACATGAAGAAACAGAACAAACTGAGACAGACTCAATCCAGAAGAACTGATGCTTCGAGAAACCTCCTGCAAAGCTCCTGAGAAACTCTGCTCAAGTGCACCGAGGGCAAAAGCTGCTTTAAACACAAAGATGCTCACACCAAATGTTGATTTCATTTAGTTAATAGAAGCTAATTGATAAAGAAAATCTATTTATGACATTATTATTGACAGCATCCTCATTTCACAGCTTAAACTGCCTAAAACTTTTCACAGTTCTGTAGCTTTGCAGGTAGGTTTCTTAAGGCATCTTGGAGATTTTGGAGATTATTACAATTAATGGCAAAATTAAATGTTTGGAAATGTAAACTGATATTTTCTACTAACAAAAGAAAGCAAAAGATAGAAATAATTTAATTAAAACTATTTTTTTAGCTGGTGAATATACTAGTGTTATAATAATTCTGGCCACCACTGTATATGCCCCCAAAATTCAAGAGAAAAATGCCCCTATATGAGTTTTTGTCTCATATTTATATCATATGATGTAGTTAATCAATATCACATGAGCATCGAGTTCAATATCACACGAGTGCTGTTTTTGGCCCGAATAGCATGATACTGATTTTTTACAACAGTTAAAAAAAAGAAAGAAAAATAATTTAATATCGTGCAGAACTGTTGTGCATCTCTAAGCAGCACACAATTTCTGAACGATTCCACATTTTGAATGAATCGAGTGAATCGATGATTCAATGGGCTATTCATAAAGAGAGCCATTTACTTCGTTCCTGAATGAATCAGCCATTTGAACGAATCAAATGAATGAACGACTCAATTACTTATTCATTAAAGTGCCCCTATTATGGGTTATGAAAGGTTCATATTTTGGTTTTGGTTTCATGCAAGGTCAAAAAACACTTTCATTGTCTTATAATATGCATTTATTTTGACCTTACTTGCTCAACGACTCCCAAACGATTCACTCAACGATTCATTTTTCCAAACCCCTGCTTTGCGTGACGCTAATCTGCGGTGATTGGTCTGATTGGATCTCGCCTGTAAAGCCTGATAAAGCAGCGTTTGTGAGCGCAGTGCTGCTTTGTGTACAGCGTTACCGGGGAAACAGATACTTTACCGCTCCAAAAGCGGCACCTAGTGGCAAAGAATTAATTAGCATTTTCATTCAGACCAACCCGAAAAGACCAACAAGTGGGCGGGCAATATGCTAATGCTTCATGTTGACGTCAACATAGTCTCGCGTAGCCAGACCTTCAGACTGACGGCTGAAGGTCTGGAATTCATGGCAGCTATCACTGGCCAAGGCCCGCCCATGAGGCCGTTTGACCGACATGTCAACAAACCAATCACAGTTAGTTTCGTTCAGCGTCACGTTTCGGGGCATGGAAATGTCGCCACAATAACAGACCGGTGTATAAAACTCTCGGACATATTTTAAAGATTCTATGCCGCGAACTTTAAATATTTCACATACTTTTGAAACTCCAGCGTTTAGTTGATCCTGATAAGCGCTCGTCGTCACAGTTGTAAACACTACGGCAGGGGGAATGTTAAAGAACGTGACACGCAGGTCTCTCGGAAATCCTGTATAATTCAACCAATACGATGACAACTTCGACACTCCTGAAGTGTTTCCACTTTTGTGTCCCATATGCATCAGACGTTTGCCAACGGTCCGTGGGCGTGACGTCTGAGGCTGAGACTAACGTCAACAAAAATGTTTCACATACTTTTGAAAATCCAGCGTTTAGTTGATCCTGATAAGCGCTCGTCGTCACAGTTGTAAACACGACGGCTTTCTTCTTTCGTGAGGCGGTTTGGCGTAACGGCACCTTTGTTTCCAGGCGGAATGTTAAAGAACGTGACACGCAGGTCTCTCGGAAATCCTGTATAATTCAACCAATACGATGACAACTTCGACACTCCTGAAGTGTTTCCACTTTTGTGTCCCATATGCATGTGCGGTTCGCTTTCAGACGGCAAAGTTTCTAAATGGACCAAATTTGTTAATACAAGTCACGCGCGAGTAAACGGTTGTCTCATTGGTCAAAGTTCCAGTTTATTTTCCGGGGGATCACTGAGCTGTCACGGCTGTCA